AGAAAATTTAAAAAAAAAAAAAAAAAAAAAAAAGGTGTTTGGCTTGGCTGTGAAAAAGCTAGGGGGAAGAGAGAGAGAGAGAGAGAGAGAGAGAAAGGAATCTGAGAAAGTGGGCACGCGTGCTACTTTTGTTTTTGTCGTTTTGTTGTGATAGGAAAATTGGGGAGTGAGTTTTTGATTAGGAGGTGATGGGGTTTGGTTAAGCTGAGTTTTCATTTGGGGTAGGTGAAGTTGGGTTCGTGTCCTTGTTGGGGTTTTGCAATTTTCCTCCAGATTTCTTTCTTTCATTTTAGTCCTCGTGAGAAAATAGGATATTTAGCACATCTGTTCCCTAGACTTTGTATATCATTGACAAATTTTCTTCTAACCTTTCAATTTTAGTAAATTATTTTATGAATTTAACAAAATATTGTAAAATACTTTCAAAAAAAGGGTCTTATAATATTTTTTTTAAAAATGAGTTGTATAACTTTTATCATATTTTGTAATTGCATTAGGCTCAGATATTTTTGTTTACCTCGGGGGACATATCAGCAACAAGAGGAGCAACAGCAGCTGCACCGCCCAACCTGCTCATACTCAGAACCTGTCCTACCCAGCAAAAAGAAAAAAAAAAATGCCCAAACATGAATGCATGATTATACTAGTAGATACTAAATTATCATATCTTATAGATAATGTCAACAATGTGATTCCTTCTAATTCTTTTATTAGTAATTTAAACCCAAGTACAGAACAGAACAGATTGAGAAAAAGCAATTAAGTCCTGATCAGAATTAGAAAAATAATATATATACATGTGTGTATATATATATATATATATATAGTTGTGAGAAAAAAGTGGGAGCCTTTACCTTGACTTGCAGTTGTAGGAATTTCACATAGTCGATGATCTCATCAAGCATTGAAGCTTTATCTGTCTGCCACCATTAATTCCAAAGCCCCATTTTAGAATTCACATTTCACACGTTACAATTGAAACGACACAAACGAAACCAAGCTCTTTTTGAGCATTATTATTATTATTATTATTTTCATATTCTTATCTTATCTTATACTATGCTAAATAAAATACTAATTAAAAAAAGACTTAAGATAATACACAATTAAGTACCGTTCAAGGACCATTTTTGCTTTTACAGGTTTATATCCTAATCCAAGTACGAACCGAAGGCTATCATTACAGCACGGTGACCTAAGAAAAACAACCTCAATTAACAATTACACGTGTCGTTACGATGATGCTATGCCGTCGTCATTGATCATTCCTAGTCTACGAGGACATATATAATGACGAAAATGGCCTGGGGAATATCAGGATTTACACAACCATCTGATCGGCAGTTACAATCTACGATTAGACTACGAAGCTAACCAGTAAGGCAACTGTGAAGCTTCATTAAAAATCCTTATTTTAAGGCTGTTAATAATAGTGAAAATTGGAGGCGTTTGGTAAGGGGATTCGTTTCTTGATTTGAATCATGATTCGTGGTTCGTTATAGTATTTTTTTCATAAAAAATACACATAAATTAAAAATATTTGAATCACATAGTTTGAATCCTCCAAAACGAACCCAATAAATTCAAGTTATTTTCATTTATATTTTTTTATTTTATTCTCAAAAAAGAAGAATTTGAGTCGGTTTACCTTGTTGGCATTGGGAACCAGCTCTTGCAGAGCTTTCATTCTCTCTGCGATTCTCTCTCTCCGTAACTGCAAACGACAGGACAAAAAATCAAAAGATTTAAAAAAAAAAAAAAAAGGCCCCACAAACGCATTTTCAGAAAGGAATGGAAGCAGAAAACCCTAATGAACTCTCCTGTTTGGTTTCCCAGAAAACGAAAAAACACACAGACGAAATACACAATTGGTAAAAACAGAAACGAATATTCTCAGAGTTCCCACTTTCCCCCCAGTTTTCCCTGGAACCAAACAGATAATGATAGACTGAAAAAAGAAAAAAGAAAAAAATTAAAGTGTTTCATCTCTTTTAAACGTACTCTTTCAGCGATACTGTGCGGATCGGTGGCTTGGCCTCGCCGAGCCCTAACCCTAGGTCTGGGCTGAGCCGGTTGAGCTCCAGACGAACCGCTCGGCGCCTGTGTCTGGTTCATCGCCGGCCCCGAAGCTCCGTAGTTCTGTTGCGCCGCCATCGAACCTCCCTAATCAAATCAAAAACCAAAACAGAAAGTAAAATTAGAACAAAAAATAAAAGAAAAGAAAATCGCAATCTTAAAACCTAGAAAAATATCAACGAAATCAATGGCATGCCTGAGGATGGTGAAACTGGTTCGGCGCCTGACCAGCGCCGGCCAAAGATCCAGCGCCGAATCCATTGTACAGTGCTTGAACCGCAGCGTCACATCCCTGCCCAAAAAGAAAAATCTCAATATCTTTTTCCTTTGTTTTTTCTCTTTCTTCACAAAGAAGAAAAGAAGAAACTCACAGAAGTCGGAGATTTAAACGACGAAGAGCCATCAACGACGTCGTTTTGAGACCGGTCAAACTCGCCGTTACTGAGAGACAACGGCATCGGAACAAGACCGGTTTCTCCGGCGCCGGCTGCGCCACCTCCGCGAGCCAGCATGAGCTGATGCTGGAGCATCATGGCCGCTGCCGCAGCAGCAGCTGATTTTGAGCCGCAGCCGCCGCTGATCTGGTGGTTGCGAAACTTGGAGGCCAAGTTAGCGGACTCGTCAAAGGGGAAAGCCGGGACGTTGTCCGGCGTTTCGTCGTCTCTGGGCTTGTTGTTTGGGCCGTTGCCGTCGGGAACGGTGGTGGTGGTGTCCCATGGGACCTTCCCCGGTTGGCCGCCGAGGTCGGCCCAGGAAGGCGGGCCCAGAGTAGAGAGCATTTGCTCGAGGAAGTCGTCGTGGGAAGGAGGGGGCTCATAGTGGGAAGCGTGAATCTGGTGAATCTGAGAGCCTTGGATAGACGACGACGACTGAGACTGTTGTTGTTGAAGGTCTTCGAGAGAGATTTGAGACGACGATGCGTTTAATAGCGAGCTCATCCCTTGCATTTCTCTGCTACAAGGCTGCATCTTTTTTTTTTCCTCCCTCAAATTCTCAAATTCGGATTCTAGAGAGAGAGAGAGAGAGAGAGGAGTTGTTGTTATTGACTTGAATGAGGGAGGTTTTGGCCTTTTGGGGTTTGGGAGTTAGATGTTTGGGAGGCGAGAAAGAAGAAGTGGAAGAGAAAGAAATGTTGGGAAAAGCATTGCAGTTTTTTTTATTTTTTATTTTTTTATTTGTTTGTATGTATGTATTGATTGAATGGTGAATTTGTTATGTGCTGAAGAAAGGAAAGGAAAGGAAAGAAGAAAGCTCTGTTTAGTACCTTTTGTTCTGTTCGCTTTTATAAGTCTTCTGCGTGTGAGATATTAAATAGCAAAAGTAGAGCTAGGTTTGGGTGTAATACGCGGGTCTGAGTTATTTGTCAATACATGATACAAGGGCTATGTTCGTCCTTGAACACAGGATGCCTATATCCATTTCTTCCATACGCGCATGAGCTTTCTAATTTCTGCTTTTTTTTTCTTTTTTTTTTTTGGGACATTTATATGATAGGACCGATATTTTTTAATTATAGCTAGCAATTACTGTTTTATTATTGGGACTTTTTTTTTTTATAAGCCTCTTCTATGGTTCATGACTATTAAATCAAATTAAAATTACTTTAGATTAAAAAATAAGCATAATAAATAATTCTAATATAAATATAATAAAAATTTTAATAGTTTATATTTTTTACTCTTAACAAAGAAACTCTTTTTATTAGTTAAATAAAATTTTGAACAGGCTAATTTATAATTAGAATAATTTTTTTTTTTTGTACTACAAATTTATAACGTGAACACTCACAAATAATCGTTAAAAACTCAAATCAGTAAATAACAACTCTCTTGTTTTAGGCTTTTTTCTTAAACCCAGTTTAGGGTCCTTTTTTTAATGCTTCAATGAGTAAGCACTAATTGAATGAATAAGCACTAATTGAATGAATAATCTTGTTTCGATGGGATGAATGAATAATCTTTGATATTAATTTGTTAGAGTATGTAAATTTGAGACAGAAAAATCATAGTTGAAAGGATAATAATCCAAAATGATTGCTTTTTTTTTTTTTTTAAGTGAGGATCAAGCTTCACAGGTTATTTATAGTTTAACTCTTTATTTATTAAATGATATATTACATTAACTAATCTATCTTCATCATTCCTAATGAAAAGCATTATGGCTGAAATCTATATTACATCCTGATATCACAATTCAAAATTTTGTTTCAAATAATTTTTTTTTTTCCTCACGGCGTATTAAAAGAGAAATAGGGGACGAAGTATTTCAAATATCTTTATCGGAGGGAAATTAGGGCCAATAGAGACTAGCTCAATTGGTATATAATGAGTACGTGAGATGCTTTCCATGTATATGGAGTTCATGGTTTAAGTCTTGGTTCCAGAACTCTACTCCCAATATTAATTTAGTTTCTAACTTTTAAAACGTTTCACAATTAGTTTCTAAGATTTTACTCTGTTTGAGAATTAGCTTGTATTAAACATTTAACAGAATTTTTGAAAGTTGAAGACTAAAATTAAAAACATATAAAGTTTAGGGACTAAAATAATATAAAAAATTAAAGTCCATCTCCACATATAGTTCAAGCTTTTAGATGTTTCTAATTTTGTTCCCTAATTTACCCAAGTACTTACAAATTTTACTCATAGTTAACATAATGACCGAAACTGAAACAAATTCATAGACTAACTGTGAGATGTTTAAAAAGTTAGAAACCAAAATGAAATTTAGGATAAAGCTCAGGGACAATTTGTGAAACTAACCTTAAGATAAATAAAAATAAAAGAAAAGGGAGGAAAAAACAGGGTTAAACTCTTTTTGTCTCTATTTTGTATACTAAATCCCATTTTGATCACTGTGTTTTTTTTTTTTTTTTTTAACCTTTGGAGTTAAGGTGAGAGATTTAAACACTACATCTCAAGATAGAGTTAGCTATAGAATTACCCTTAAAGACATGTGTACAACCACTCATCATTGACTTTTAAAACATCTAAAAACGAGGTTTTGATCTACTGAATTTTCCAATTAGGTAATTTACTTCCACTAACAACATGATTCTCATGTTCTTTCCTCGTCGATATTATAATAATGAATGGACTAGAGGACTAATTTGGAACAATTTCATACATCAGATGCACTTTTTAGAACGTTTTAAAAGTGGTGATCAAAGTGGAATTAACCAAGATAAACAGCAAAATTTACAAGATATATGAAATGAGGTCCACGCGCATGATGGTCGCGTGGTAGCGGAAATTGGGGCAGTTCATGGTGCTTTTGTCACGCATGGTCGGCCTGTCCCTCCAGGTCTCGCTTTCATATTGACGAAAACACCTTCACATGAGAATTGCGAGTTGACGCTCCCACTTCCCAATTTCACCGTCGATTTTTCCTTTTTCTAACCGCTCATAATTACACATTTAACTCTCAGCTAAATCATATTATTAAAGGGAAGAACTGTTTATTATATTAAGAGTAGGTTTAGTTTGAGGATTCAAATTATGTAATTTGAACTATTTTTAATTTACGTGAATTTTTTATGAGAAAAAATACTATAACGAACCACGAATCATGATTCGAATCAGAAAATGAATCTCTCTACTAAACATCCTCTAAATCATGAACTAGTTATCCAAAACGTGTCGCACAATAAGAGCGAGTGCTGAGGCCTTCCCATTAAATATGGTCGGCCTGTCCCTCCAGGTCTCGCTTTCATATTGACGAAAACACCTTCACATGAGAATTGCGAGTTGACGCTCCCACTTCCCAATTTCACCGTCGCTTTTTCCTTTTTCTAACCGCTCATAATTACACATTTAACTCTCAGCTAAATCATATTATTAAAGGGAAGAACTGTTTATTATATTAAGAGTACGTTTGGTTGGAGGATTCAAATTATGTGATTTGAATTATTTTTAATTTACGTAAATTTTTTATGAGAAAAAATACTATAACGAACCACGAATCATGATTCGAATCAGGAAACGAATTCCTCTACTAAACATCCTCTAAATCATGAACTAGTTATCCAAAACGTGTCGCACAATAAGAGCGAGTGCTGAGGCCTTTCCATTAAATTTGCGCGTAGGTTCATTATCAATCCTGCTTATCCGCATATTTTGCCGTCAAATTTTGGTTTTATTTTCTCATATGTATGATGTATCTTTTATTTTTATTTTTTTGATATTTTCTAGTTTCTGCTCCAATTTCGCTGAGTTCATTGGGATCCATCAAAGAGCAAACTTTGGATTTCGAAATGCGTGATTCTGGTACCATTTTTTTATTTTTTATTTTATTCCTTATTTCCTATGACAAGGGGAGAGTAAGGGAAGGAAATGAACAAATCTCTCTTTTAAATTGAAAAAAAAAAAAAATGCATATTGTTTAGTCCACGAGTGTAAAACAATTTGCATATTGTTTATTCCGAGAGTAAAAGTGATTAACTTATTCATTCAATCCGAATTTTGATTCCAGAATAAGCAACCGATCGAGTCCATGATTACAGTTAGACGAAATAGTTAGTTATCGTACATTTTAAGGACAACCTAAAATGTTTGTTTCAGAAGAAAAAAGCAATAAATTTTCCGGCAGAATGATTTAACGTAGTACAGTATTCATCATATTTCAACGGAAAAGAAGATACAAGAATTCGTCATAGTTGGGATTAATTCAAGAAACATGTATTAGGTTTTTGCTTTCATACTCCGCGAGCTACATAATATTAAATGCACAAATAATTAAAAATCATAAATTTAATTACGTTACATTCACCTTTGTTTTCCTGCCCCCTCTTTTAGTACGTTGGTATTACCATTTATTTTATTAAATGGTTTTTGATTAAAAATCAGAAATTTAATTATAGTTTTTTTTTTTTTTTTTTTTTTTTTTTTTTTTTTTTTTTTTAAATTAAACTACGCCGAACGAGGCTGGGATAGTGGTGAGAACGGCATTTGTTGTTCGAGGCAAGGTGCCAAATTTTAGACTGATTGTTTTTGAGGTTTTTGCTTGATCTTTGTGGTCCACATATATATTGGGTGATTTCCATTTGTGAAACCCTAATTATTTTATCTACTTTAAGTTTTCATTTGAGTTTTTAAAGTAGAATTTGTTTTTTGGTATCATCATGTATCAAGTAATAACATGTTACATAGGATATGCTAATTATCAACCACTCACTCACGGTTAAGATGCATCTACAATTAACCATCTATTAAAGGAAACATGTTCCATTGTGGTATGTATCTCTATTTTGTAATTCCTTTACAAATTATTTAGATTAGTCGTCCCACTAATTTAGGAATAATCAACATCGCAACCTTGTCAGAATAAACTGCGCAACTTTATTTACTGGTTATGAACAACTGAATTTTATACTTTAATCCTTAAAATTATATATTCTTGCATACTGTTCTCAATATATACATAATCAAGGATTACTCTATTAGCATTGGAATATGGAAAGAAGATGCATCTCTACACAATCAACCATAAATTAAATAGCATGTTTTTATTGAAATAAAATGCTAAAAATACTTAAAAAATAATATTACTTTTTATTAAAAATTGCTTCACAAAGTAGAATTAAAAATCCTAACAATCTCATCATAATCACATAATTAAAAGTTTGGCAATATCTTTCAGCAGGTAAGCTTCTTATACTATTAATATAGCCAAATTAACATAATTGGTTATGATAGTGTGATGATATCTCTATATATCTCTCTTTCCTATCTCATTTTAATATTAAAATACAACAAAATAAACATAAAATCCAGATATGACTTGTTCAAGATTTAGGATACAACACAACATCTCAGTGGCCATACTGAAGAATCTCTACATCTATAGTTTTATACGATTTTTTAGCTCACTCTTTGGAATTTCGACCGGCCTCGTGGCCAAACTTTTGCTTGCTAAAATGAGGACCAGAAAAGTGTATCTTGATTTTTGTATGTGCATTATTCGGTTAAATAATGTGTACTACCCAAATATGCAATGAGATTTATAGTATTACTTTGCAGTACTGTTCATGATAAAATAAATATTTAACCAAACCATTAATGCTGTCATTCTCTAGACCTCTCATTTGGGATGCGATCTTAGTTGTTTAATTGTTTGAAAATTCCATGTTCATTGTATCATTGATTTGTATATAAGGTAAGGAATCTCAATTAATGAATTAAATATTATGTTTGAAATTCTGCTCCATCAACCAATATAACAGGAAGTAGCTATAGAAAAACATGCCTTGTAACCTCTCCTTCATGTCAATGATTTTACTTGAGAACTTTCCAAGAAA